TTCCATGCCATTCTGTTTTGATGGCGGAGCCTACGACTAAGTTTATATTCCCTTCACAACCTATGAAGAAGTTTCCATGCCATTCTGTTTTGAAGGCAGAACCCACGACTAAGGTTATTCTCCCTTCACAGACTCTGAAGAAGTGCTCCTGCTCGACTGTGTTGAAGACGGAACCCAAAGCTGAGGTTATACTCTCTTCACAACCTGTGCAAGACTGTTCATGCCCTAGTGAAGTGTCACAATCATCAAAGTCGTCGAAGGAGTTTCCAAATTGCGCAGAGGATGAGGAGCTAACCGATGGCTTACAATCGCTTTTCAAGTTGTTTCGTGCCTTAAAGACGAAATAAATGCTAGGAATTCGGAGTAATTTTAACAAACGCTAAATGTTTATTTAGTAGTGGGTTTTGCAAGGAATATGACATTACTGTATTTGCAATGTTGGGTCATCTAAAGCTTCAATATCCCGTCTATTCATCTTAGTTATTGCATTCGCCTTCACTTGTTTTCGGGATACATGGTTATCTTAAGTATTTGTCGTATCGGATTTGACCTCAGAGTTTATTGTCAGCATTCGGTTTGTAAAGACCTGGGTGTCGAGGACTGTATCTCGTAGTTACTCTAGAAATCTATAATATTCTAAATAATTACTGCAGCCATCCTTGTAAATGGAGTGTCGCTGAGGTAGCGCTCTTTTTAACAGCTCCTAATGATTCGCCAATTTTGTTATCATCGTGGCCAGGAGAATGGGCATGCAGAAGGGGTTACTGGTTATACTTACCCACTCACGAAATACAACAAGCTAAAAAATGTTGGTCGCGCACTCCGCTTCTCACTCCCCTCAATCAGTTTAAAGTGAAATATTCGAAGCTGATAAGCGTGGCTGTTCCTCTCTTGTGCTAGTTCTAATGTACTATCATCTTGGTCAGACGAAGACACCTCTGATTTGCTTTTGAATGTAATCACTCTTCTCGAAGGTTAAATTATGTCCGATAGAACCCCTCACGCCCCCATCAAGGTGTATTTCAGTTATTAGATATTTAGCTTGAAATTGGAAATACACGATTGTGGGATAAATACGAAGGCGGAAGTAAGAGTGGGTAAGCCAGATAAGACCAAGAATTCGACACCAGCCTTCACCATTTAGACTCCGTACTCGCTTGTGCGAGAAATTGGCATGCGGCAACTCTGTATTATGCAAATGAAGTACCGACAAATTCCACAGCGTTGATTTATCCCCATTCAGTGTGGACACAGTTCGGGGTAAAAGGGGTAATTTACTCCCACAGAGTCTGCAAAATACAACAAACAATTGGAGTCACCTGCATTCTCGTATTTTCAATGCTATTGTTGGTGTGATCAGACTATTTTCTTCCTAACTAAATGACCCCCATCGACCTATCTTCCCCGCCCTTAGTTGCTACCCCATCTCTCATTGTGCGATTGAATAACTAGACTTCATAAAAGGTGTGAGCGAAAGGCTGGGTAAAGCACTGCAGAAATCAGCCTACACAGCTAGATTTATATCCGATTGTTCAGTTTCCATCGGTGTTTAATCAAAACACTGCAATTTTTTCAATTCTTTGTACGGAGCCAATGAAAGGCAAACTGGTTCACCTTGGCTGCACATCGTTTTCGTTAGATTCACCCATTGCACGTCCACCTATCTAGCTTTATAATCTTGCCACGTAGTTCCATGCAGATCAAAATTACCGTCTGCGCTCAAAGACAAGCTTTTCCAAGTAAAAAGTTTTCTCATCTTCCATCCAAATGCGTAATCACAGTACTAATTTTGCGCTCTTGAACGGCATATCCTTCATAAATACCCAGCCAACGTTTCTTTGCACATCAAATTGTTGGCAAAAAAATTGTTTTTCGATTAAATTTGAATCAAAAAAGGGAGGGGTTGTACATAAAGCAGCACAAATTCTAGCAGTGCATACGTAGGGACCTAATGTGCGCCATATTACAGTCCTGTGATAGTACTTATCGCAATATAGCCATGAAAAAAACACTGTTTAATCTTTTGTCAATGCATTGCGCCAAATTAGATTAACCAAAATTTGTAACTGAATGGTTTGATTTATGAACTTGGTTAAGTGTTATAAATGGTCAGATTTCTAACACGGCAATACATAAGTGGTTAGTTTATTGTGAAATGGCAAAAACCTCTCATTGCGTCAGCTGATTTATTTTTATTTAAAATGCTTCAAATAACGCTTTGAAATGCACTTCTCGATTCCTCTTGGAAGTGCACGAAGTGTTCTTTAAGTTAACATTTTTCACCCGTGATTTTGGAGCGCTTCAAGTGTGAATATAGCACTGCAAGTACAAGGATCACAAGCATTACCTGAAAATCTCAGAGAAGGCAAATCCGTTAAGCATCAACCATAGCAAACAGTCAGCTAAAGAAATACAAACTGTGCTCACATTCGTCCGTATTGAAGGTGAAAGTCGAAAATTAGGTTATTTCCACCTCACAACCTGTAAAGTTGTGCCCACCTCCTTCTCTTTTTGTAATCGAAATTCACAAACATGTCCTTAAATTCCGTCCAGTTTGAGAAGCCGGCCAACGGTTCACCTTTGGCAATTCATTGAAATTTGAAGTATTCGCATACTTTCAAAGCAGCAATGGTGAGTCCTTAGTTTGTATTGGCAAGGCTTATCAGGTGCGGTTCTTGAAATAGGTTAAGTGAGTTTCAACTGACACTTGGCAAACAATCATCACAAATAATGGAAGTAGTGGGAGCAATTTTAGTCGGTGAATCATTGCATGTCAGCTCTTCAAGAGGACAAACAGCGAATTTCTTGCAATCATTGACATGGACACGGTCACATTAATACATTCACCTCACAGCCGGGACCTTGCCTCAATTGCAAAACTGGGTTACTCTAGTATGAATAAGTCCTGCTGACAAATCATTACATATCCTTGGTCCTGTGATAGGATGGATACCCACGTGCAACAGTAGATTATGTTCAAATGGAACGTCACTTCTACTTCTTGCTCATTTTACTAACTCAGCAACTTGCATGCTCCCCGTGTACATGAATTTCTAGACGTGAAGCGTTCCACTTTGTACAAATGATGACTTATCAGAGAGGCAACTAAGCCACGAGAGTGAACTACAACCTTTGCCCTTTGTTATATGGTTCACCTTCAGTGTGCGTTCATCAGATGCCAATTATTAAAACTGCCCTCTCATGGACTATAATTCCTTTTTTTCTCTCATCCTCTGGAATACTTATATGTTTCGCATTATTTGCATTGTTTCAAAGTGAATAAGCCCAAAGCTATTAACGTGCACCCACGCAGATGGAAACAAATCGTATTCACTTGCAGTCTTTCGTCCAAAGCGAAGACATGTTTAAAAAAATACACAAAAGAGGTTATTAAAAGCTTGTACTGTGATTTGAGATGACCACTAGGAAAACCCTACTCTCTCTTTCCTAATGTTGTGCAAGCCATCTAATAACTGGTCCATTTGGCAGCAACAACTTTTAACTTGCTTGCAATATAACCCTGCGAGGTCACTAGTCCAATCACATGTTCAAGTTTTAATCTTTATTATGGAGAATCTATATTCTGCATTAGAATGTCAAAGCGTCCACAAATATTCTTCTTATTATTTTACTGTGTGTGTATATCGCTGTCACCATTGACCGTGGCGTAGCTAGATTACTGGCAAGATGGTTGAGGGAACGCCAGTTTGCAGTGCATATGTTTTAAGAACAACAATTGGGTGGCTGTCACCTACAAACACTCACGAACTACGATCGGGGAGACGTTAAATACTTTGTCACCCAGCTATGTATGACTGACATGCAAGTGAATCGCAAATTTTTTCCGGGTCTGACAAAACTTCTACTTTCCATGTATTTGGTGGCTTAGTTTCTCGACTTCAACAACTTCTCCACGCGATTAGTTTCTTCATTTCATTTGCGAAGAATGTGAGGTTTGTTTACTTATACCTAGAGATAAAAGGGTGTTTCTCTGCATTTATATCACCTTAAAAGCTGTAATAAGTCAACATATCTCCTAAAGAAGTCATTGGTCTCAAAATAGGATGTTGCTGACACCTCTGCACAACTAAGCATGGCCAACAGTTGTGTAAGTGAGAGCCGACTACGGGTAGATGGACATACGCCTAGATGGATGCTCTCGACACTTAACCCACTAATGAATCTGCGTAAACGTAATATGATCTTTTTTGACCATAATCCATCACCACCAACAAAGGATTTTAATTGCATAATGAATGGATGAAAGAGGACTAAGTGAACAGTGAAATCAGGAGTTTTACACACATAACTGCTATACCTTTCTTCCTATCTCCCACCCCCAAAAAGCATTGAGGAATTGGTTACACAGTGAATGATGTTAAATAATATACAATTAGTAAGAAGAGAGGTGCATGCAGTTAGTTACATTTAAGCAAACTTTTCGCTTCTCCCAATTTTTCATCCACCCCTACTAACGAGGTAGATAAGCTTTATAAATATAGGCCTTTAAGCAAAAGTAACTTAATCGGATTCATGAGATTTTCTGTAAAATGCTAGGGAATTAAATAAAATTTTAGAAGTTTTGAACAGGTAAGCATTTAACTGCACATAATTTTTTATTGATAGTTTCAGGAGCCCGGAAGATTTGATCATTCTATTTCACCTGGTGATCATGAGATTCAGTGCTCATAATTCTAAGGGGCCAGACATGATGGAGGAATACCCTTAAGAATGTATAGAGAATGAGGGTAGAATGAGGCATGAAGATTTAAACGGTGTGAGAACTTTTACAGCTACGCTTGAGAGCAAGCAGGCTGGGGTCATGCGCTGCCCCTTTACATTAAGATTAGTACTTCCTTCTCGTCGACCGGTTCACCTGTTTTGGCCAAAATTTTCTTCTCGTTACCTTGTGTCAGAGCGTATAAGAGTGGATCTTAGTCACATTTATTGTTTGTTAAAATAAAAACTTGTTTGAGTGTCTATGTTTTAAGCATGCAGTGATCATATTTCAGTCGTGAAAAATTGTCACTTGATAAGATACATGTTATTTTGAGATTTTATTTACAAATTAGACTTGCCTCTTGCAGTACCTTAGAACTCACCGTAATGGAAATGCGTGTCTCGTGGAACTAAACATTTAGGGAATTATAAAATACGATTTCAGATGTATGGAGGTCTGTATAAAAGAGACCTTTACCCGAAACTGTATGCTCGTTGGTTTGGGCCGGTAAACATAGAGGTTCTGCATAAAGGAAAACTGTAAGTTAGACAGAAAGCGTTTTAAAGCAACATAAACGATAGGACTTGGTTTTTATTTTTTGCTCATTATTGGTAAGGAGGGCTTGAAATGCCTTGCATTGTCATCTTATATCACGTTATGTTACAGCTACTAGTAAGCAATGTGCTGCCCACAAGTCTCAGTGTTAACAAGCACTAGGGTCACTAGGCTGTTTGTATGGGCAGACCTCTCTGCTTTCATGATGAAACTTGATACCACAGCCACTAATGCTGCCATGCAATGAAATCAACAAAAAAATGAATATTCGTTTGCCATGTGTGTAGCTGCACACTTTTCGAAATTTCGCTTTGTCATTCTTTATAATCACTGCTCTGAGTAGGGCAGCATAACGTGGTTGGAGATTGAGAAAAAACCCATAAGCCGACGATTAATGATTATAAGTTGATTTTCTAAAAAAGTCCGTAGTAATTATTGCAATAATCTCATCATTTCGTCCTCTTTGGGAGTTGGCTTGCAGTGAGTCACCTACTAAGCTGACCCGAACACATCAACTGTCCGCAATAATTGCGTGTCAGTGGGCCAATTCTTCTTCCAAGGGATATGCGCCTAAAAACGTAGCCAGTGTATGTCTCACAAGATTGGGATTTACTTTAGCTAGTTCAAGAGCTGCACCCAATCAGCTTCGTTAATCTGATCTTAGGGGTCAATATGGCTACCATGGAAGAAAAAGGATACTTTAGAAATGTAATGCGTAATAATATTTTTGATGAATTTCCAAAGATAATCGACATAAGTTGCAGTTAATTCGACTTCAATGGATGAAAGAGCCTTAAGGGAATTTGTAAACCGTTGGCTGGCCTCTCAAACTCAGTGGAATTTAAAGGCATGTCCGTGAGTTCCGTCTACAAACGATGAGTGTTGGCACAATTTTACTGGTTATGAGGCGAGCATAACCTGATTTGTGGGTTTTACCTTTAACACAGACCAATTTGAACACATTTCCACAGGTAGTGAAGTGTGTATGAGCTGAATTTTGACTTCCACCTTTAACATAGACAAGGTTGGGCTTTTTACAGGCTGTAAGGCGACATCACTTCACTCTCATTTTCGTCTTTTATTTATACATGTATGACTACGTTATTGCTTCCACCTCTTTGACTTTTTATTCGCTTTGATTGACACTGAATTGTGTAGCAGTAAACACTTCCACATTGTCTCCATTCCTTTAGCATGATGTTCGTGTTTCTTGTATATTCACTTCTGTACTCGTACTTGACACTCCAAATTCACTCTTCTGATTCGCTTACACTGAATGAAGGTATTACGGAGTCATCCCATTTCCTATACTGATGAACGAACATATATTTATCCCATCATTGTACCAAAGCACGGGAAAAGGTAGCACACTGCAACTACATAAGAGTATTCAATTTCGATGTCTTAGGAAGTTTTCTTCAACGTGTGACTCCTCAGGCAGTACAGAATGCTTTTTGATGTGATTTGCTTTAGAGTTGCATAATCCGCACTGGCCGGTATGATGTAGAGCCAACCTCTACATGTTGTGCTAACAGCTTTCAAATTAAGACCATCCATGACAATAATGATTCGTAGAAATAGTGACCATCTGGAAGCTCAGCCCTCCAACTCACCGACGCTTATGCTGATACAGCTAATTGGGCGTATCTACACTGTTGACAATTCTTATTTCTTAATTGTTTCTTAATTAATCGTGGCATTTGTGCTCACAGAGACAAACACTAGTCTATAACAACAGAATCGTTTTACCTTGTCATTAAACTGTATTCTGTCATCCGGTTCCTAACTCCCACTTGATTTTTGAGATTCAATACTGCATTGAAAATAAATGTTTGTTTCAGTTATGCACAATGTGGAGTGCGAGCAAGTGGGGACGAGGATTTTGAGAATATTGAAGAACATAATCAGTTTTCTACAGTAGAAGAGGAATTTGTTTTTCAGAGGACATATTACGACTTTTGATCTAGAGAGAATATATTCGGCTCTAAAAGGCTCCTGTCTACACCTGAATATCCGAACTTAAACGCCATTTCTATATGCGGTCCATACAATCATGATTTTTCTTGTCAATCCTAGTCTTCAGCTCAGATCATCGTCCCCTCCACTTCTGCATTGGTGAGACAGTAAGTGCTTTCTTTCTTTCCAGCAAATGTCAACTTTTCAAAACTGTAAAATGCTTCTAAATGGTTAAATATACTGTGCTCCCCATTTTCACAAGACTTCATTCATCCTTCTTCCTTCGTCCGTTCTCCATAAATGTCCGACCTTTCTCGGCTTTGGCTAAATCTTTACAGGGATGACTGCTGCGGATATGAGCAAAAACGGAACCATTGAAATCGGAATCTCCTTTAACTTGCAGATATAAGGCTGTCATTCATAAGTCAATTAAAAACAAATATGTTGTGGCTAAGCAGCAACCTAGCAGCCAAGTGGTGGACAAGCGTGCTATCACTATGCCTAACTGTATTTGAAGTTCGCTGAATAATTGATATACGGCGATTTTACGCCTGTGAGAAAAGGAAGAACTCCATGTATCCAAGAAGAAACAACCTAGCAGCCGCTGGTGGACTCACGCAAGTAAAACTACGTTGGTAGTGTTTACTAAGATATCGCACGTGCAGCTTTCTCTTTTCTAAATATCACTATAGACACACTCCATAACCACTGTCAAAACTCGGATAATACACAGAGATCTATTTGCTGGTTTTAAGAGAATGCCAATGTTGAAGCCAACGCCAGCAATAAATTTACTGGCTTATGCTCTTGTAAAGCTGGATTACAGGGTATCACCGACTAAGCTATTCACAAAAACTCTGTGGTTTTTAGTGGTTACCCGGCAAACACCAATCGCTCTTCTTTAAGAATATTCGTCGAAAACATCCATTAAGTGAAACTTAGGACATAAGGTGAATTTACTTTGTTGAAATGCCGCGCCTAAAACCCATTGCTACTCCCTTGTGGTCCACTACTGCTGCTTTAGTAATATGAGATTTCATGTACAATCCTGCATTTAACAATTTATTGCCTAGTTGCGAAAGATAATGAGCACAAATAGCGTTAATGCCTACTTCAAAGCAAGAAAAATCTTTAGAAGAGCTTGCAAGCCATCGAGTAGCTCGTCATCCTCAATGCAACTTAGAGGTTCCTTCAGTGACTTCGGTGAAATTATAACCTCACTTGAGCACGAACACTCCTTCACTGGTTGTGAAGAGAGCGTAACCTCAGTCGTGGGCTCCGTCTTCAACGTAGTCGAGCATGAACACTTGTTCACGGGTTGTGAAGAAACTACAATCTCAGTCGTAGGTTCCGCCATCAAAACAGAATGGCATGGAT